GGTGAGGTTGGCCCAGGATCGAGCATTGTTTCGTTCTGCTGTGCATGGGGTCGCTATGAGTCGGTTCCGACTCGATGGCACCTGACAACAACAACAACATATTTACTTGGGAGTGCTCCCCCACCCCAATTCCTGACAAACTGAAGTTGGGGCATTGATCTCCCTGACACCCACCCACTTGAAGACTTGGAGCCCTGCAGTTGTCACTGTCCCAGTCCCCATTGGCTTCTGCCAAGAGGGGAATCCCACAGCCAGGCATCCAAGATAGGTTACCATACCAACCCCCTCCCATCTGCTCCTTCAGTTGAGTGCTTTGCCTCAGCTCTGAGCTTTCACTTTGTTCTGTTCCTCTGGGCCAGCACTTACTCCTAAGTTTGTGATCCAGGAGCACCCTGCAAGGCTTTTGAATTTTGGTCAAATAGCTTAGAAAAATTCAGCTTTATCCTTATCGCATCTACTATACTCTGGTCAGTGATCAAGTCGCTTATGTTGGAAGTCTGGAGTAGGAATCCAACTTAGTCATGATGTTATTTTTTGAAAGTTTCTTGGACTCTGTTAGCTAGGATTTTGTTGAAAATTTTTGCATCTATATTTGTCTATAATTTTCATTTTTAGAAATGTCTTTGCCTGGTTTGGATATCAGTATTATGCTTGTTTCATAAAATGAACTTTCTATTCTGTATTCTGGAGTAGTCTGAGTAGAATTTGTGTCCGCTCCTCTCTGAATATTTGATGGAATTCAACAGTAAAGCAACCTGTGGCCTGAGTTTTTATTAGATGGGAGTCTTTTTATGACTTGATAAATTTCTTCTTTTATTTTAGGTCTGTTCCTGTTTTCTACATCAGCCTGTGTTTCTAGACGTTTGTCCATTACTTCTAGGCTTTCAAATGCGTTGGAGTACAATTTTTCATAGTATCGTGTTATTTTTATTTTTGTTTTCTTTCCTGTTGTGATGTCACTCATACCATCTCTTATTTGTGTTATTTTCATCTTTTGTTGGATTTGCTAATGGTTTGTTGGTTTTCTTGAGCTTCTGAAAGTTTGAAACTGCAAGGTTGGCGATTCAAACCCACCAGCTGCACCTCCGAAACCCTATACCTGGTCAGAACCAACTCAATGGCACTTAACAACAACAATTATGTACAGTTGTCAATTTCCCTCTTGAGTTCTTTCAGAATTTGATTTATGTATTTTGAGGATCATTCATTGGAAGCATGATTTTATTAAAAATCAAGAATAAACAATTAACAGAAATAATGAAACAACAAAAGGAAAAATAAACAAAAAACCAGTGCAGTGGTTGGACCCAGAGAAAACTCTAAGGGGTTCTCTCCTACCAGCCAAGACTCTCACAAGGAATTTGATGGTTGAGTTTATGACCCAGAAGGAGTGCTTAAAGGCCTAAGGTGTTGTCTATGTTTGCCACACCCACTTCACTAGTAAGTAGTTTCTGAAGACCTTTCAGGTTCCTGGTTTCTGTGTCTGTCAAAACTAGTGGACAGTTGGATGCAGGGGGCTGATTATGAAGTTTCCTGTAATCCAATTCTGGCTGGTGGGCTCTGTGGGTTCTGTGGATCTGGAGCAGAGCCTGACAGAATCTAGACGCCAGAGTGGCACAGCTGGTACCCACCTCACACTGGTTCAAGCTGCGTGGCTCTAAACTTCCGAAGAACAGGATCTATTCTGGGGGTAGGTAAGGGTGGAGCTGGTCTCACCTCTGCTGTTCTGGGAACAAAAAGGACTAGCACCTTTTCTGTAGTCTGTGTGAATTCATGCTGTTAGGTGTTCTCTGTCTGTCTCTCCAAAGCAACTAGAAGAGGTTCAATATGGCCAGGCCGCATCTGGGCGTCAATCCGTGCACTAGTCTGTGTCTGTCTTTGCTGCCCCTGCTCAGCTTCTCCCAGTAGGTGTTCAGTCCACTTCTCTTACCTTTCCCCAGAAGCTCAGGGTTCCAAGATTGCCCTCTTTGTCTGTTTCCTTAGTCTCTTTGTTGTATAGACTCTGTGTAAGCATGTCTTTCCAGAAAGTCTTTCAATCATAGGCACTTGATTTTGTCACCTTTTGCAAGATACACATGTATCACCTTTCTGAGCCTCAATTTTCTCCCATTGAACATGAGATGCTTAGCATTTTGCATCTATTGCTTTCCTTGTTGCTTCAACAAGATCTTTGCATGTATGGTTGAACAGGTCCTACCACCCTAGTGCTGAAATCACCGAGTTTAACAGCCTTCAGTGGTCGCCACGAGCTAATGTTCTGGGAAGTGTGTGGTTTTAGTGGGTAGCTAATTTTCAGAAAATACCTCATGATTCCTCTTGAAAAATGTTTTTCTAATCGTCCTACTGTTCTTGTACTAGACTTTGTACTAATGAGGCAGTGCTAAGGAGCTCTTGTGTACACCAGTGGTTAAGTTCTCCAGTACTAGAAAGGGTGACAACTTAAACCCACCCAGACGGTCCTTGGAAGATAAGTTTGGCAATCTGCCTCCAAAAGATCACAGACTTGAAATCCCTATGGAGCAGTGTTACTTTGCAAACAACTCAACTCCAGTTAACAGCAACAAGACAGTGTTAGGACTGCAGGTCCTGGCCAGCTGTGTGAGTGGCTTCTGACAGTGATGTTGCTTCTAACATCACCTCCCTATTCTGGGCCACATAAGGTCATGTGACTCACACATGCAGCAATGGTTAAGTGATATGCTATCTCTGTAGAAGGCTTTGTGAAACCTGTAGGGATTCAATACAGACTCCCAAATTCAGGGAACAGTAACATAGGTGGTTTAACACAGCGGAATGTGGGACTCTGGGATACAGAAGCTCTTTCTCCACAGGCATTAGGCTGCATTCTGTCTTCTCTCTGATTTGGGTATCAGAAATTGACCTGGAACTTGGAGATTGAATCTTCATTTGGGGGGGGGGGGCAACAGGGGCACGCAGTGTATTTTATATGGAACAGACTTGAGTACACATAGGCCCGAAATGGGTAAAGGGTGAAAATGCAGGGTCCCTGCCTTGATTAGGCCTTTGTGTGTGATGACTGAGGACGGGGGTGATAGGACAGCGTCTCTGCTGAAGGGACCTGGCAGTGGGCTCACAGTACAGGATCCAACAGCATCAAGTCGCTTCTCCATCCCACAGGTCCTGCACACATGGCAACAAGAGGGAGTTCCATGATCGAGTTATGACCAAGTCACCCCAGAAAGCAGAGATCCACCTGCCATATTTTTACTCTGATTCTTTTACCCTGGGAAAGCAGGACTGGGGAAGATTTTGGCTTCAAAACACAAGGGCAATATGGAGACCGAGAAGAAATGGACTCAAACAGAAAAGGGTGAAGGTGAGCATTATTGGTAGACCAAGGCTCCAGGTTCAGGTGAGAATGTGTTAGTGGCCACAGCTGAGAAATGTGCCTACTTCCTTCCAGCCTCTGTTCAGAAGACCTCCTTTGGGAGAGTCGTAGGAGGTGTGCTTTCTCAGAGTTTCTCCTTTTTTTCGCTCGTAGGTTTGTCCTCTAAGGCTATTGACTGCAACCAAGAGGAGAAGCGGAAGCCTAGAATCCCGGTGAGTTGGAATTACTTTATTTTTCTGAAATGCTGGCTCACTTACTGGAGAAGAGGCTTATATGTTACTCTTTCTTGGGTAGGAAGAAGGTAATATTTTACACATTATAGAATGCTTTCTGTTCATCTGCTTTTTTTTGTTTCATTTTGGAAAATAAAGCTAAAATTAATATTAAGAATTCTATAATACCTAAGATATGGAGAGTATTCTCTCAAAATGGAGATCACTAAACATGGAAAAGGTGCTCTTAAATTTCACTCCATGTACATGCACTGTAACATGACCATCTTGTATTGTGGGCATAGTTGTACTTTTTAAAAGGCTGTGCTGTTTTTTTACCAACCATAGTGTCATCGGAGCTTCTGTTGCCCTTAGTACCTAGTGAAGATTGAGTGATCAGTCCCTTGTCTCTCCTCTGAGGTCATCTGGTCTTTGGAAGAAGTGCTCTGAGTCCTTGCTGGTCTGGATGTGTATCTTTTTTAGGTAAAGCTCTGAACTGAGGAGCTAGAGGAAATCTTTGTACTCTGTGTAGTTACTCCTCACCACTAATGTGCTATGGCACGTGGAATCTGAGCCAGTCTATTGACTTCTGGAGTGTTTTTAATTAAACTTTGGTCACTTTAATTTGTGCATATTGGATCTGTATTGGAAGTGGGTAAATTCTAGAGCCCGTGAATTTAAAATGATACCTCAGTGACGTGTGTGTAGAAATCCTGATGGTGCCACGATTAAGCACTTTGACGCTAAGAAGAAGGGCCAAGTGAAGCCACCATTGGCTGTGCAGGAAAACGATTTGGGGGAGTTGGGTTCAGAAAGATTCAGTCTTGGAAACCCTCTGGGTTCAATTCTGTCACATAAAGCAGCTTTGAGTCAGAATCGGCCTCAATATTTGTTGTTGTTTTAAAAGGATGAAGTTATCTTTAATAGTGACTTACTAGGGAATGTGTCAATCCTCACCCAGTGTGGTAACCCATCACCTCTCATCCCCTGTCAGGGAGGAAGCAGGTAGGATACAGCACCGTCCATTGGGTATACAGGTAGGCTTCAACCTTGGCAAATAGGAGAGGGAAGGAGCTATGGACAGCCATGGATGGACTCTGAAGGGGTAGATTTTGTAGGAAGGAACTTGGTCTTGGTGGTCGTAGCTAGTAACTTGATTTTGTGGGTATGGGAGAGGGATCGGGCGTTCCACCTCTGAGAGGTGAGGAGGGACTCTTGTGAAGCCATTGTCTATAAATTGTCCTTTTACTAAAATATTACATTCTCTTGCCCACTGTTTTACTTAGCTGAGGTAGTTTTATAGGATGAGTGAAGTTTTAAGGATTTTATTTAAAAAGACCATAATTAGTGACCTGAACTCTTCAGAAATACTTCTTCCAGATGCCATCTGTCCACTGTCACTTTTCACTGTAGTTGAAGTCTCCCTCTTTCTTTTCATTTCAGTCTTTACTATCCATTGACACTTAACACCAGACCCGTCTCCAGGATGCCTGTTGTTCTTTTGCACTTCCTCCATTATGAATTCTCAAAGTCACTTTCTTGAATTCCCCATATTCTTCTCCCATGTTACACATGTCTGAAGAGCAGGATGTGCTTTGTACATCAGTGATGCTCCTCACAGAGTTTCTTGCACAGCTGGGTACCGAGCCATGTCCAGAAGAACTTGCTTTCTGAAAAGAACTAGATGAACTTGTTAAATTTCAGACTCTTCTCGTTCACCAGTCAACTCTTCTCATTGGGATGGTGACTTCCTGTCCATCGGTTTATCATTTGTTTTAGGGACCAGTTACATTTGAGGATGTCACCGTGGTCTTCACAGAGGCAGAATGGAAGAGACTGAGCTCTGAGCAGAAGAACCTCTATAGAGAAGTGATGCTGGAGATCTACAGGAGTCTGCTGTCTTTGGGTGAGGATGTGCTGTCTTCTTTGCCTTCATAAATCCAAGAGACATTTATTGGTCACCTGCTATGTGACAAAGGTGCTTTGTGGCCTAGTAGTTACGCAGTTGGCAGCTAAGTGAAAAGTTGGTACTTTGAACCCAGCAGTTTACAGGAGATAGATGTGACCATACGTTTTCAGGAAGATTTATGCTTTGGAGTCCCTCTGTCAGAGATTTTCTGTGCCTTAGAGTGTCACTATAAGTCACAAGAGACTTTATGACATCATTTTTTTTTCTATTTTTGCCAAAGGTTTCTTTTTTTTTTTTTTTGACTGTCAGGCACTTGATTAGCAAAGCGAAAAGTCGGTTCTCGAAGTAGAGAAAGGATCTGTCTCCACAGAGTGAAGACCAGACCTGGGTGGGATCTTTTTTTTTTAAATGTTTTATTGTGAATTATGTGATAGTTTACATGGGAGAACATTAATTTTATATTCATCCTATTGTATATCATTTCATTGCATATGCCCTCTCTTCTTATCAGCTGGATGCTTCACTCTCCACTCTAGTCTGTGGCTGTCACTGACTCTGGGCCCAGAAGTCCCCAGGTCTTGCCACACTGCTGGCCAGCTAGGTCTCCACCCGAGTTCACAGGAGTGTATTGAACGTTGCAGTGCCAAGGGTTTCTTGGTGGGACAAATATTTGAGCTTAACTGTTAATCTAGAGCTTGGTGGTTCTGATACGTCCATAGCACCACAGAAGAAAGCCCGGGTCATCTACTTCCATAAAGATTCTAATCAACAAGACTGTATGAGTCAAATTACAAACAAAAACAAAAAATCAACCCAAATGAAGCAATTGTTTTCTGGAATACAATTTCTGAGTTGGCCATGAGGTGGAATCGAATATATGGCAACACTTTTGTGTTTTTTACTATGGACCAAATAATCCTTTAAACTAGGGTTGTAGAATGTCCTGTCCTCAGACTGTGTGGTGGTGGTGTGCCATAGATTCAGTTCCAACTCATCACGACCCTGTATAGCGTTTCTGAAGCTGTAAATCTTTACAGGAGCAGAAAGCCTCATCTGTTGGTAATATCAAACTGCTGATCGTGAGGTTAGCAACTCAGTTCATGACCTATACTACTGGGGCTGCTTTTGGAGAGTGTGTAAGACCTGGGAAATCATTTGACTTGGTTCTGCCAAGGCATCTGCAGTTTCAGACATCACATTATATAGTAGGCTAATTTTTAAGTTAATAATTTTGTATGGCCTACAGATGATATTATAAATATCCAAATGGCCTTTGGGGAATAAAAAGGTTCCCTATCCCTGCTCTAGACACTGAGAACACATCAGTATATGTCATACTTAGAAACCCATGTCCTAACTGGAATTAACCTTCAAGTATAAGGAAACAGACAACAAATGTTGTTAAGTGTCGCTGCGTCAGTTCCAACTCATAGTGACCCTGTATAGGGTTTCCAAGGAGTAGCTGGTGAGTTTGAACCACCAACTTTGTAGTCCAGCACACCAGGCAACAAATGGTGAACTTTATATAAAAAGGGACTTGAAAAGTCCTTGGAAAAATGGAATTTAAAGGCAAAAGTTTCTCAAAATCTGTTTTCCAACCATAGTAGTCAATATAGCCTGGTGCTGGGAACACGACAGATACATTGATTAATGAATGGAATTGAAAACCCAGAGGTCAGTCCATCCATATACTGACAGCTGATCTTTGCAAAAGGGCCAAACACATTAATTAAGGGAGGAGATAATGTGTGGTTCTGGCCAAGTGGATATAAATTTGCAGAAGATTGAGACAGGTCCCATATCTCACTCCGTATATGAAAACGAATTCAAGATGGATTAAAGACAAGTGTAAAACACGTAACTATAAAGATCATCAGTGAAAAAAACTGGTAAATTTAAGGGCCATCATGTGTGTCATAAATAAATGATAAAACATGTCTGAGAGCACACAAAGCACAGGTTAACTGATTGAAACCTCCTAAAAATTAGGTTCTTCTGTGCATCAAAGGAGTCCTTGGGTGGCACTGTGGGTTAATGTGTTAGACTGCAAAGTTGGTTTGAACTGCAAGGTAGGTGGTTCAAGCTCACCAGCCACTTCTTAAACACCCTATACGGGATTGCTATGGGTCCGAACCGACTCTACTGTATTTATAACAACAAATAACATGTGCATCAAAAGATGTCACCACAATAGTAAGTAGAGAACCTATGTCTTGTGAACAAGGTTTTGGTGACGACTTATCAGACAATGGACTAATCCAAAATGATTATAAAAGAAACTTCATCTCAACAACAATAAAACAAATAATCCAATTTTAAAATGAGCAGACACCTGACATAAGAAGATATTCAGGTGGCCAACCAACATGAAGAACTGCATACATTAGCCATTGTTGTTGTTATGTGCTTCAGAGCGACTGTGTATAGTTTCTGAGGAGTGATTGGTTGGTTTGAACCGCGACCTTCTGGTTCAAACTGACCCATAGTCTAGTGCTTTACCCTGTAGTGCCATAGTAGCTATTTGTTGTTTTGTTGAGTGCTGTCAAGTTGGTTCCGACCCATAGCAACCCTGTATAGGGTTTCTGAGGAGCAGCTGGTGAGCTTGAATCATGGACCTTGCAGTTCAAATGGCTTTGCAGTCTGGCGCATTAACCCACAGTGCCACACGAGGACTTCTTATAGCAATTAGCTAGTGGTGGTGGTTGTTATGTACTGTGGAGTTGGTTCCAACTCACAGAGACCCTGTACAAGGTTTCTGAGGCTGTAAATCTTTAGGGGAGCAGAAAGCCTCCTCTTTCTTCTGCGGAACAGCTGGTCGTTTGGAACTAGGGAGATGCAAATCAGAATAGTAATGAGATATCATCTTACTCCAGTGTTCTAGCAACGTCCCAAAAGTAGGGAAGAGCAAATTCTAGCAAATGAGTGGAGACACTAGAACCCTCATGTGCTGATGGTGGGACTGTAGAACGCTGCACCCACTGTGAAGAATGATGTGCGACTTCCTGAAACAGTAGAAAATAGAAAATTCATTTGAGCCAGAAATCCCTCTACTTGGTGTATGTCTTAGAGAAATAAGAGCCATCACATAATTTGATAGATGGTGCGCCCATGTTCATTCCAGCGGAATCCTGGTGTGGCGCTGTGGGTTAATGTGCTGGACTGCAGAGTAGGTTTGAACTGCAAGCTCACCTGCTGCTCCTTGGAAATCCTATGCATCGTCGCTATGGGTCAGAACTGACCCAACAGCACTTAACTGCATGTTCATTTCAACAGTGCTCACAATGGCAGAACAAAGGAAAGAACCCTAAGAATGGATACACAAATGTTGATGCATACCATAAACTCACTAGAAAACTTTGGAACAATAAAAAACTATTTGTCATTGAAGTATCTTATATGATGATCAACTTGTGGTCTTCATGCTGAGTAAAATTAATAAGTCACAAAAAGACAAATGTTGTATAAGACCACTATTGAAAATATATGACAGGAAAGTTTTCACACAGTGTAAGAGACATTTTTTGATGGTTAATTCAGCGTAAGAGCGGGTAGAGCGGGAAGGTCAGTTACTGCACTAGAAGATTTTGCCAAAGGATTAAAAGGCCCACAGACTGGGATAAAAATGTTTGGCAATGATGTATCAGCTAATGGACTAATCTATAAAACATATACAATAACTCAACACTAAAACAGAAATAATCCAGTTAATAATTGGCAGACTTGCTTGACGTTACCAAGCACCCTAATCAATGAATTGCTGGGCCTGGGGGTTCAGGACCATAGTCTCCAGGAACACCATGGTCAATAGGCATAATAGTCACTAAAGACAACGTTCTGCATCTTACTTTGATGAGCAGTGAATGGCTTCTTAAAAGCTCATGTGTGGCTGTTGGTCTCTATTGGCTGTCTTCTTAATAGCTCATGAGTAGCGATTGGCAGCTCTTGGTCTCTCCATGTGCAGAAGAAAGAAGTGATGAAAACTAAACACTCTTGGAATCATTTAGTCCAGTTTTCTAGTGTAACACGTGAGCATCATTCTTCACGATCCAAAGACTAGAATAGATAGTGTACTGTTTCATCTACCGATGGTACTGAAAGGGATCATAGAAGGTCTTGGATAGAGTGGCAGAAAATGTAGAACAAAACACAAAATTATTTTTAAAAGACTGGGTTCACTGGTCAGAAAAGGACTGGAGGAATGCGTCCAGTCCTGGAAATTAGCTCATCTTCATGGCTAAATTTCCAGTCATGTAATATATAATGTAAAGGGGACAACAACACTAGTAAGGTCTGCTCAACATGGAATGGTCAACCATCCAAAATCAAAAGCACAACATTTACTTAAGGGCTTATCTTCCTAACATCCAACCTTTCAGCTAGTTGTTGAGCACATAAGTGTACCACCCAGTTCTCCAGCAAGGAGGTGCTGTCTGCGCGATGCGAGAAAGCAGAGAGCCCAAGCCACCCGACTCATGGTTGCTCTAATAGAAATTTTTCTCTTTTCAGCAGAACCAAAGTCAGAAACCTACCATTGCTTCTCCTGCCTTCTGGCTTTCTCCTGTCAGCAATTCCTCAGCCAACATGTGCTTCAGATCTTCCCAGGCTTGTGTGCAGAATATCCCTCCCATTCAGGAGGTTCTAGACCATGGAATCAGAAGTGTCCTGACGAGCAGGATTCTGATCAGAGCCTGAATGAAAACACAGACTGTCAGGAAAGAGAAGACTTTGCCAAACCCTTTTGTGGGAGCAGAGTGGAAAAAGAGATACCATGGGCACTCTCTAGCCCACCCCAAAGAGTGTCGGTAAGCCCCAGAGAAGGTCCCACAGGTGTAGGAATAGAGCCCAACTCAGCACACAGGGTGACGTCTGTGGAAACAGATAAAGCGCTGAAGAAATTAGAAAGCTCAAGATTTGGAGCAGTGAGCTGTGGAGAGAACGGAGCAGACTGTGGCCTGAATTCAAACTTCATCACAAACCAGAAGCCTGTCTCCCGCGGGCATCCCCATGTGTGCAGTAAGTGTGGCCGAGGCTTTAACCAGAAATTCAACCTTCTTAGGCACCAGAGGACACACTCAGAACAGAAGCCACATGTGTGCAAGGAGTGTGGGGAATGCTTTAAGTGGAAATCAGAATTCCGCTGCCACCAGAGGACACACTCAGGTGTGAAGCCGTATGTGTGCGGTGAGTGCGGCCGAGGATTTGCTCAGTTATCAGGCTTGCTTTACCACCAAAGGACACACTCAGGGGAGAAGCCACACGTGTGCAAGGACTGCGGACGAGGATTTTACCGGAATTATAGCCTTCTCATGCACCAGAGGATACACTCAGGGGACATGCCGTTTATTTGTACTGTATGTGGCCAAGGCTTTAACTGGAAATGGAATCTTCTCAGACACCAGAGGATACACTCAGGGGAGAAGCCATATGTGTGCAAGGAGTGTTTGCGAGGCTTTAAATGTAAATCAGACTTTCACCGCCATCAGAGGACACACTCAGCGGAGAAGCCATATATTTGCAGTGACTGTGGCCGAGGCTTTAAATGGAACTCAAGCCTATGTATGCACCAGAGGACACACTCAGAAGAGAAGCCACATGTGTGCAGTGAGTGTGGCCGAGGTTTTAAATGGAAATCAAGCTTCCACCGCCACCAGAGAACACACACAGGAGAGAAGCCATATGTGTGCAGTGAGTGTGGCCGAGGCTTTGCTCAGATATCAGGTTTGCTGTACCACCAGAAGACACACTCAGGGGAGAAGCCTCATGTGTGCAAGGAGTGTGGGCGAGGCTTTAACCGGAAATATAACCTTCTCAAGCACCAGAGGACACACTCGGGGGAGAAGCCATTTGTTTGTAGTGAGTGTGGCCGAGGCTTTACCTGGAAATGGAACCTTCTTAAGCACCAGAGTACACACTCACAGGAAAAGCCATTTATTTGTAGTGAGTGTGGCCGAGGCTTTACCTGGAAATCAAACCTTCTCAAGCACCAGAGGACACACTCAGGGCAGAAGCCATATATTTGCAGTGGGTGTGGCCAAGGCTTTGCTCACAAGTCAGTCCTCCTTAAGCACCAGCGGACACACTCAGATTTGCAGTGAGTGCGGCCGAGACTTTAAATAGAACTCAAGCTTATATATGCACCAGAGGACACACTTGGAGGCCGGGGGGGGGGGGGGGGGGGGGGGGGGGGGGGGGGGGGGGGGGGGGGGGGGGGGGGGGGGGGGGGGGGGGGGGGGGGGGGGGGGGGGAGTCATACATATGCAAGAATTGTGAGCAAGGCTTTGTCCATCAATCTGACTTCCTTTTTCACCGAAATGCACATTCACAGGAGAAACCATTTGTTTGTAGTGAGTGTGGCCAGGGTTTTAAATGGAAATAAAACATATATGGGCCAGAGGGCACACTCAGGTGAGAAGCCACACATTCATAGTGATTGTGGCAGAGGCTTTGCTTGGGAGTCAAGCCTCCTTATGGACCAGAAGAGACACTTAGTCAAGAAGCAGCTTGTTGGCCTGGAGTGTGTGCAAGGATTCAGATGTGGGAAAAACCTTGTTAGACATCAGAGATCACTCAGGAGAAGTGTTGTGTTTGCTAGGAGAGTGGCCAGGGCTTTAGCCAGAAGTCAGTCAGCAGTCATCAGAAGACACGCTCAGATGATAGAAGCCTTATGCTTGCGGTGAATGTCTAAATCACTCCTCTTTCTCTATCATAGGACACAGGTTTGAATCTTTGTGTATGTGTTAGAACGAACAGGAGTTTGGGGAATGGCACACTTCAGCATTTGTTGAAGAACGTCTGCTGTTTCTGTGAAGAAGCATCTGTGGGAAGAGGGACGGTGAAGTGCTTTAGCAACAAGTTATACCTCTTAACACTTTCAAGACCAAAGTACTTTCTACTTTGAGTTTTGATTGAAACTTTGTGTTTTTAATAGTGGAAGGCATTTCAAATTTTAAAAATTTTAATGTAATAATGAATTTTGAAATAATTGGTTTTTGTTAAGTGCCATGGAGTTGGACAAGTAATTCCCGAGAGGCCTCTTTCAGAGGAGATGGAGAGATGAATTCCATTTCTTTAGATTCATGCATGTAAGCAAGCATCCACAAGATGGCAGCATGCACTAAAATTGGGATAACACCTTCTCAAAACCCTAGAGGTGGACCGTGGAGGTGGGCACTGCCCTACAGGTTACAGAAGGGTTTATCCAGGAGACGCACAAAGGGTCGAGGGCTGTGTGGGCAGGGTGTGGGAGTAGAACTTTAATCTTGTGTCCCTGCTCAACTGACCTGTTGTTAAAGTGCCACTGAGTCAGCTTGTACTCATAATGACACTTTATGGGGTCCCAGGGAACCACTGGTGAGTATGTGGTATGCAGTTCAGTGCTTGTCTGACAAAACCATACCAGGACTTACAAACTGGATTAAGAGGATAAAATGCCACCGGCAGAAGTCACTAGTTCAGCCCCATCCTGAAGGAGTTTTACGAAAGGTCTTCTAACTCTAAAGGAGGTTGAGGTGTCAGTAGTAGCTAACTAAATAAACACTTTCAAATCCTGTAACTGATTGGAATAAAAAGTTGAAGGCTTTACTTAAGTAATTGAAGTTTGCTCAACTTCTTTTCTGTTCATACACCAATTCCTCCTATTCTTTGTCAATTTTTTATAGCAAATAATTTGTTTTCATAATCCAGAACATAGATAACCTACGTGTGTGGGGAGGTTTGAGGGGGTGTGTGGCCATGTGGGGCTCACCTGGGTGGCAGCTTGCTTATTGGTGGGGACAGCTAGTGCTTTAGTTTCTCCACTTCTGTACCAGCAGGTCGATGTCCTGGGCCCCCGTGGAGCTGCAGAGGTGTAGTAGGTGCTGAGCTTGGCTCCCGGCCTGCTGTCAAGTCCGGACTTGTCTTAACTCCTTGCCCTGTCCCTGTGGCCTTCATGGCTAGGGCTGCAGCCTTGGTGGATCTAGAAGGCAGGGTTGAAGCAAGTGCAGGCACTTGTCACCTCCATGACACTGAAGTAGGACAGCTTGGTGTGGAAGATATAGAATGTGACCCAGTAGCTCCTAGTTCAAGATCTTATGTAATCAACTTTGGATTTATGCGTTTTTTGATCACCAAACGATGGAAAATCTTGGTAGCTTCTATATACAGGTTTGGATATCCTGGTACATTTTAGAAGTATGCATACTTCCAATACAAAGGTTTGTTTCTTGGGATTTTTTTCCCCCCATAAATTCAATACAGACAGATTTTGGTAAAAAACTTTCAGCACCTGGGGGACATTATATTGGCTGAAATGAGTGTATGACAAAGGGACACACAGTGAATGAGACTGCTGGTTTAAAAAGTTTTGTGATAACATTTGATGGTTACCAGGGATGGGATGGAAGAGAAAATTATTCATGGCATAGAGGGTTAGACGCATGCTAATCTGGGTTACAGGGCAGGACACATACAACAAGAGGGAGATTGGGAAAGAATCGTTGAAGGTAGCAGGAGACACGGAGCAGTGTACGAGTTAAACCAAGTAGATGAAATACTATTAACTGATGGTACATGGAGTGGATTGCAATCATTGTCATGAAGCAAAAGGCATGATTTGCTGAATGTAAAATTTATCTGTAAACCTTTACTCAATTTACAATAAAAAGTTAAAAATCTTTGGGGGAAAATTAACAATTATTAATCATAATCAAAGACCTTCTGATATAGTAATTTTGAGATCTAATGCCATATACTTTGGATATATAAGATTATTGAATCTCTAAAATTTGATTGGTAATGAAAAGCTCTGGGTAAATGATGTGAATTTCCCAGTTGATGATGCTACATTCAAAGGAAACAAAGTGGTGACCAAGTTAGCCAATGAAATAATAAAGCTATGATATAATATTATGTGCTTATCGTCTAGTATCAGGCAAACTGGTTGTTGTACCTTCCAGCTGGTTCTGACCCAGTACAACAACATACTGCCTGGTCCTGCTGAATCCTCACAATTGTTATCTTGGAACGCATTGTTGCTGCCATCATGTCCACCCATCTTATTGAGGCTCTCTGTCACTTTGCCGAACATGCTATCCATCTGCAGGAACTTTTCCTGAAAACATATCCAGTGTACGAGATTGGAAGTCATGCACTGACTACTTGTAAGGAGCAAGTTGGGTGTACTTTTTCCCAAAACAGACTTGTTAGTTCTTCTGACAGTCCATGGTATATTCATTGTTATTCACTAACATCGTAATTGAAAAGCACCAATTATTCTGCAGTTTTCCTTTTTCATTGTCCAGCTGTCACATACAGATGACGCTGTTGTAAATACCACAGCTTGAGTCATACCCACCTTAGTACTCAAAGAGACATCTTGCTTTTCAACACATTCTGGGAGTCTTTTGTAGCAGATTTGCCTAAACCTCCTTTGATCTCTTTCTTGACTGCTACTTCCATGCACGTAGAATGTGGATCCTCTCAGTAAAATGGAATTCTTGATAATGTCAGTGCTTTCTCCGTTGATGATGATGTTATTTATTGTTCCAGTTTGTTCGTTATCTTTACAGGAGCTGTAATCATCATCAGTAAGTGCTTCCAGTCCTGCTGAATTTCAGCAAGCAAGATTGTATCATCTGCATATTCCAGGTTGGTTTTATTGGGTACAATATGCTG